TCCTAGTTCTGGGAAAGTGCCTGCTTTAAATGGGTCTAGCAGAGCTTTATTAATGCTCCATTCATGCTCATTTTCTTCATACAAGCTGTCACTATTACTCAGCAGCTACTGCAGATGTGGTGCATTCAAGTGGACAGGAAAAAGAAAAAAAAAAAAAAGTTGGTTATATCAAACCTGGCTCTTTGAAGCTCTGTGAAATGAGGCTGTTGCCACCTCAGGGAGCTGCAAGCAGCCACATCGGCATCCTAAACCTCAGCAGCTCATTGAGGTCTCGTAATTCAGGCAGTGTTCCTGGCTGCGGCGGGCTTGTGTCAGCTGCTCCAGGTCCACAGGGGTGCGTGGTCACCAGCACCACCCTTTGCAGCTCCTAATCCCTTCCTGGCCCCAGCGGGTCACCTGCAGCCTGCGGGGCAGCTGGCCTGACCCTGATGTGTCACTCTTTCTCCTGCTCAGTCAACAGTCAGAGCTCTGCAAATAGCACTGTTGGACTAAACCTCCATCTCCAGGAAAAACATTAAACGAAACACCTAGTTTATTGCTAAATTTAGGTTTCCTTTTGCTTGTGACTGGGCATATCAAGGTGATCTATCAGTTCAGCAGCTGTTTTAAAGCTCTGGTGGAGGCACAAATGTCCAAGCAGCAGGGCAGTGAGAGAAATTGGCTTTAATACACAGATGCCCACCTCTGCCTACATTTATGGGGTATGGTCTGGACTACAGCAGATCATGTTAGCCAGAAGCAGATGGCCACTGTAATAACTTCTTATAGCACAGGTCAAGGAAAAAAGGCAATTTGGGATTGATTAGAGTATAAATCCTCTAGCAGAAGCAGCCAGGAAGAGCAGCAATAGCAGATGGGTCCTTACATCCATCTCTGAATCCTTCCTGCGATGCAGGGCTCATCTCACAGATGCTGCCAGTGTCTCTGTGGACAGCAGGGTCTGCAGAGACCGTACAGGTGTCCTTCTTCCAGAGCCAGCAGGACACACTGCAGTCACTGTGATCTGTACAGTGCAGGTGTATACATCTCACCCTGTGCTTTAATTACCCCAGAAACAAAGGGTAATCTAGTTTCTTGGGTAGGAATCCAAGGCAAGAATGGGAGTATTTGGATAGGAATCCATAGAAAAGCCCCAGAACCTGTAGAAAATAGCAAAAGGAACCTTTCCCCCAAACCAGTGCTCCTGCAGCCACCCTGCACAGCGTCAACTTGGAGACCAGCAGGCTGCCAGAAGTGACAGCTTTCCTGGGAGATTTAAAACTGAAGTTCCTTCTGACAGCTTAATCCCCTGCATGTATATAGCACTTCACATGCCCAAATATTAACTGATTCATGGTTAATTAACTTCTGGTTATAAATTTCCCCTGGCACTTTTTGCAAGACTCAGGATGTGAATGTTAAACCAAGTGTCCCAGGCAAACTGCAGCACTGTAAGAAAAATAATGGGGCAGATCATCACCTGCTTTAGTGCAGCTATGTAGATTTACTCGAGCCCAGGGCCTGACCCAGTGGTCCTTGAATTTATTAAAGCAAACTGCAATGAATGAACTGCAGAGCTCCTTCCTATACATAACTACAGTAATTAATTCCTTGCTAAGGCAAGGTATATGGTATAAAATAGCACGCTCACTTTTGTTCAGGTGATTATTTTGGCATAAAATGGAGGAGATAAAGAAAGGTGGCTCAAGGCAGTGGAAATGAAGAAGTGTTGCAAAAGATCGTTCTATATAAAGGCTGGTAAAGGCAGAACCTAGTCATGTGCTTGAGCTGGATGCAAGGAGAAAGGAAAATTTTACCCAAAACCAAACATGACAGGGTAGCTCATTCACCTCAGTGCCACTATTCACCACCAAGAGCTGGTGACATGTCATGGGCACCTCCCTAATGGCCTCTGACAGGGAAAGTGTACGCCTGAGCTGCCTCCCCCCTCCTTTCCCTCACTTCATGTAATGGTCTTTGGAGACCCTCAGGAATTTTCCAGAAAACTCCGTTTCCTTTGACAAGTGCCAATCCAGTGAAACCAAAATTACTCACAAGCATTTCCAATCCATGCTATTTGACCTGGGCTGGAGAAAGGTTTGGGAAATATTAGGCAGATACACACACACACACATATACGTTTCTGGATCTCCCTACACGTATCAGCCCCACTCTGGCTTATGACCCTACAGTATTAGGCCTAATATTTCATGAACCTGATAAATACTTTCCAAGAATTTAGAGGTTTCTCTTCCAACCATAATTTGTGCAGGGCTCTGATATGTACCTCTGGCTTCCCCAGGCATCTAGCCCCTCTGGAGAGTGCTGCTACATCAAACTTAAATAGTTTTATGCAACCGCAGCACTGCTGAATTGGATTCTGGGGAACAGCCTCCTTTCCTTGCTATGATTTCACCTCGACTCCATTGGTCTGAGGCACAACTGGGGTAGCCACTCTAACAACAGGCCATGGCACTGGCTTCACACCAATTCTGTCATGGGAGATGAGTTTGAGGAGTCTATCAGGTACCATCAAGGACCTTTAGTGTAGAATGTGTTTCCAAATTCATGCCAACCATTTCAATGGCCACGTGGCAGACTGGACACTTGCTCTTAATTGTGGATTGTTCCCTTTTTATAATATGTTTTGTGCAGCACTTCAAGTTAAAGTCTTCCCTTGAGGTCACGTCCCTTCTTTCATGCCACCCACCTGGAGACCTCTATGAAGCTCTTGCTTACTGAAAAGTGCTCACTGGGGTGATGGGAAGGATGGATACACAAGAACAAGAGGGCTTCAGACCTACAGAAATTACTATAAAAAACAGAGCAACTTTCTAAAATAAATATATATATATATAAAAAAATAAAAAAGTGAAAATATGTAGGTGGTAATTTTATAATTTTATTGATTCACCAGCACAGGACCCAGTTCAGAAGCAATTAAACTGGTTTAAAGATTATTTAAGGTGGTGATGCTTGTTTGCTGATGGGGGGAGTGGGGCCTGTTTAAGATGCTACTCTACAGCTGTTTTCCATCACTCTTTTGATGAAGATCACATCAAGAGCAGCTCTAGCAAAACAGATCACATGGGCACCTGCTTTGTCTGTAACAGTTTAAATAGCCATTCACTGTGAGCCACGCTAACCATGCTGGCCACATCAAAACCTACATAGGACCTTCAGATAGTGATTTGCACCAGATTTGCTGATGGCAACTGTGGCCAAGGGACAAGAGTTCTTCCAAATGGATGAGCCATCCGTGGTGTTACTATGGATGAACCCTAAACTTGGACAGGGATATTGTGCTAGATGGTGTAGAAAAATAAAATAAAATATGTCAACACTTACTGCAGACAGTTTCTATTCCAAGTGTGCTTTAAGTCTAAAGAGACAACAGGGAGATGCAGACTGAGGTAGAAATACAAAGAAACAATGAGGCATTATGGAGTAGCACACTAGAAAGCAATATCAGCATGCTAGTGCTCAGCAGTTATCAAATTCTTTGAAAGAATCACAGCACAGGTGAGTTTTTAGGGGGGATTTCAGAGCGTTGTAACAGGCTGGACACCATAGCCACCTCCTCACCAGCAGGATGGCAGCTCTGCAGCATAGACAATACTGTCAGCAGGTCATGGTTCCCTTTTTGTGCAGAGACAAAATAATAAATAATGCAGAGGTGGCAAGCAAGTAAGGCACACTTACCCTTTCTCACATTGCAAATACAGGAAAATAAGCCAAAGGAAAAGAAACAGCTTAAGGAAGAAAAAAAAAAAAAAAAAAAAAATTATTTTTATGTATGGGCGTTATTTACCTGAGAATTGTTGTGTGATTTCACTGTGTTAAGACATTAACAGAATTCAGGGAAAAAAAAAGATTCTGGTATTTTTACAGAGCAAGAAAGGATCCACAGTGCTGCTGAGAAATAAGATGATATTAACTAAGCATCAGCTAAGATAAATCAGGGAGAAATTCACCCTCAGGGCAGTTTGTTCCCTGCGCAGCTGTCTAGTGTCATGTGAAAGCAAAATGTTATGAATGCCTCTTCCTGGACTTGGGAGAAGGGTGATCACTCTGGTATTTAATAAGGCATAAACAGGAATGGAAATGTCCTCTACAATTAAAACACTTAATGGAGCATGTCTGAGTGGATTCTCACGTGTCTAATAAAGCACAGTCCCAGTGCAGCCTATCAGTGAGGGTGTTAACAGAGCCTCTCTTCTCCATCTAAAGGCTTATTTACACTTGCAAGAATTCAGTACTTTTGAAATCTCTACCCCTCTGTTACATTTAGCTGAAATCGGCACATGAGTTCAAAACTAGTTAGGAAACACACCTGCTACATAAACACATACATGCACATACACAACACACTGCGCAATGGCACAAGCCTTATTCTGTTAAGAGACGGGGTTGCAAAGCAGTGTGGGCACAGGAACATTACCTTTTTGACCCCTTCCCAAAATCCAGACCTGAATTCACAACAGCATTTTATACCTATGTTCACAGAGGGCATCCATAGCCATGTTCAGGGCTGGGATGAGGACAGAAAGCAGGGACCAAATGTCCTCTGACATCCCAGGCCACAGGGCTGGGAGCACACAAGACACTTTCACCTCCCTCCATCCACACTTTGGTGTTTACTTATGGACAGGAGATTATGGATTAGGGATTGTAGACGCCTCCCAAATCCCTGAGGAGAACAAGTTCTTGGGGGACATGTGCTGGAGGACAAGGACTGTGGCCACCTAACCCCCAGCCCCAGATAGGTGCTGGTGCTCCCCACCCAAACCCTCCTGATGCACCCCATTGACAATCCTTTGCAGCCACCAAGGCACGCTCATCCCCACTAGCTTTCACAACGGGGCTTGCCAACCTCCACAACGATCTACGCACAGTGATTTGTGATGTACTGAAACACAGTTTACATTGCAAAAAGCTCTAATATGTCCCTGGAAAGCAATTAAGAGAGAGTTGCATATGAGCGTTAAGAGTTTTGCTTCACGAGCAGATGTCCTCTTGGCGGATGCGCCTCCGACCCCTCGCTCCAGCAAGCCTTGCTCCACCTTGGAGCTGCAGCAAGGAGAGGGGCCGTCGTGCTCCTGCTTAGCCAGGCTGACTTTTACGAGGCCTTTCTCCGGAAATAAGAAGTATGGTAAAGCGAGGTGATCTTCCCCCGCGGCTGCTGGTGTGGATTATGGAGCTGGCAGCAGCAGGAACGCATTAAGGAAAGCTCCCAGCAATGGGTAAGTTTTAAAATGAAAGCTGGCTCAGTGTTAATGCGCAAGTAATGTGTCCCAGCTGTCTTTAATAAAACAGCCAGCTGAAACTCAGCATCATAATAAACGGAGAAGGGATTTCACAAACATCCTGGCTGCTCAGAAAGAGACTCTCTTTTTTTTCTTCTTCTTTTTTTTTTTTTTTTTTTTTCTCTCTCAGAGATTGATTAAACGTTTCCTGTTTTCAGCTTTCCAGAAAGGTCTTCGGAAGCCTCCCCCTGCTGCCTTCATGCCGGCAGCATCATTTTTCAAGGCCCTCTCCCCGTTCTGGCGGGACGCGGATACGGGAGGCTTTGTGCAGACCTGATGCCCGGGCAGGAGGCGCCTCTGCTGCAGCCGCAGCCCTGTTGGGTTGGATCCCATCCCTGCGGGCATGGGGTGGAATGATGCTGGTGGCAGTCCCAAACATCTGGGAGTCTCACAGGACCCAAATAGGAACCTTACGAGCCGTCACATCCTATTTACGGACAAGGCGCAGAAGAAGTTGCCTACAGCTGACAAATAAACCTTGGAGTGTCAATGACTTCTGCTTTTGCCAGTGATTCAAAGTCACCCTAAAGCTAGACCATCAAAGCTGGTTAAGGGTTCAATAACTCACGTAGACACAAAAAAGGCTGGGCTGGGTTTCATCCCGTTGGACTTGAGGTGTCCACTTTTAGAGTGTCCCTGCCAGTGGAGCAAAACAGGCACCTTTGAGGACAATTCATCTGAATTAACTTGAGGTTTTATAGGATAAGTTTTACCACGTGCTGTAAGGAGATGAACGTGACCACGCAGCTCTTGTGTCCATAGCCAAACTCCTCTTTCTGTCCCATGACTCAAGCCTAGAGGAGGAGAGGAGGATCCCCTGGCCAGCCAGTCCCTTTGATCATACAGGGCTTCTACAGCCCTTTCCACAAACACCTCTGAATCAGGGAACTGGAAGAAATAATGTGATTTTTCTCAGCTTTTTGACAACCTCTAAACACCAGAAAGAGACTGAAATCCAAAATGAGGGATGAAAGCTGCCTTGAGATTCTCATATGCTCCTGCCTCTGCCTAGCAAGCAAGCGGTACGCCTGACCTTTTGCTGAGGTACACGGGCATTTTGCCAGCCAGTAAAGTCAAGTTTCAACAATTAACTTTCAGTAGTGGAGGTTCTGGATAGAAGTACTCAACTTTAATCCCAGATAATGCGTGACAACTTTCGGTGCACTCATTCCAAATGTTTAATGGGTTTCAGTATTTCCTATAGCTCTATAATATCTCCCACAAAAATATAAATAATCTCTGTGGTATAGAAGAGAGAAAAGACTTGAAATTTTGACTATAGGAGAAATAAAAACATCTCCTTGTTACCTCTTGGTTTCAGTGGGAGGTATGTGTCCAAATATTTCTAGAATTCAAGATTGGCCTATTGTTTAGAAATGCCTATGTCGTTATCCTGATGTCAAAATTAGGGATCCTTTCACAATTTGGAATTTAACTTCTTTTTGCCTTAAATTTCCACATCTGACAAGGGTGTTGCCAGGATTAGTTAATATTGTGAAGTGGTGATTGATGAGTGGATCTTTCAAAACACAAAGTGCCGCCTAATGCTGAGGATTTTTGGGAGAGTTTGGAGAGTGACATTCCTAAGGAGCTAGTCTGAACATGACCTCTCTAATCATAAAATTATCATATAAACCAATGTAAAATGGAAATATTCTCTAATGTTCATTTTTGGTAACAGACTGGTGAATGGTGAGGGCTTCAGTTGATGCTTCTGGCTACCCATAAACTTCTGCAAGATTTGCAACATTCTGAGGGATGTTCCAAGAAAACAGATTAGTTTTCTTTCCCCCGCAGTCTTATTTTACTTTGAATCCTCAGCAATTTCTTTTCCTAAAACAAGGTATCAAAATATCTTGGATGGAATTATGCAATACATACCATGAAACACCTTGCCAAAAAACATTCACTTCAAACGGTATTTGTTTGGAGTACCTGAGTTTTCCTTAGCCTCAGGAATTCTGCTTAGCACAACTCCATAATAATTTAAAATGGAAACAAAATGACATTAAGCTTTATCAGCCAAATTCAGTAGCTTTTTTAGTCTTTGTAGATTGATCATGGGTAAGTGAAAATAAGTATTTCTGGAGTTTTCTCAAATTTTTCTTATATGTGTTTATCCTTTTTTCTCATCCGCACAATCCTCTTCTTTATTATCCTCGTAAAAGTTTTCAAAAGGCTTCAGGCTATGAACAGACTGAAGATAAAGTGTAAGCAGTAACACATTCCCTGACTATTATCAATATTTCTAAAATAGCTATCAGTGAAATACTTCATATTTTCAGGATTTTGTTTTTTCAAAACAGTAGTACAGACATCCCACAGAAGAGCTTTAGAATAGCTCATACTCCTTATGGTTTCATAGTCCATGCAATCTACCAGCCCACAAATGCTGAAAAACAGATATATCTCAACAAGCTAAAAATATTTGCCCTCAAAATTTTCTACCCAAGAATGAACTTATGTCAAAAATGTCATATACTTAAAGGAAATAGCAATAACAAAACCCTCTTTTGAGAAACCTTCCATTTCAAAAGACAAGAACCGTTTTTCAATATGTGAAATGCTTCAGTTTGGGGACTAAAGAAAATAAATATTTTTCCCTGCTGAAAAAGCACAGAAACAAATGAGTGGGCCCATTTTTTTTCTCTACCTTAATGCTCCCATTCCAACAGCAACAATAAAAATACACAAAATCAAAACGAAATACAGAGTCAAGAATCAGGAACCATCCTCTCCATTTTCGTTATGTCACAAGGAACAGTTTATATTCGCAGTAGTGAGGGCATTTCTGGTGAAAGCTAAGTCTTGGACAAACTGACAGCCTTATAGTGGAATGCGGTCCCAGAAGGAAGGTTAGATTTTGCTGAGCCCAAACTTTCTCCTTCAAAGATTTGCCAATTAAGTTACCACGTTGGGCTGCAAATTGCCACTGAACTCACATCTCATACTCCAAGCAAAGTAAAATGTTACAGTACACACTAGAAAATCAGTCTAGGAGCCTTCCCAGGACAGGTGGACACTTTGACCTTTGAAACAGTTGGGTCCTTTCATTTTCTAATTCTAAAGCCTAGAAATAAGCGCTGGTCCCAACCACATAACCTTGAAAGAGGCCTTCAGATAGCACAACCTGCGTCTGTTGCACAGCAATGCTCAGAGGTCTGAAAAGGGAACAAGCCTCTATTGTTCCTGATGCTGCCCCTTCCCCCAAGATTTTTGGTCTGCAACATACAAAGCAAGGATAAAGGAAAGGGGCTGTTATTCTCCTCCTCCACATCTCCATTTTATGGGCTGAGAACCAGGGGCGAAGGTCCCATGACTTATTCTTGGATGCACACCCAAAGCCTGTGCCAGCAACGGTATTTAACACAGCTCTTTGTCTTAGGCCAATGCTTTATCAATAAGACCCACTTTCTCCCGCCATAGATTTTTCCAAACAACAGGAAAAAAAAAAAAAAAAGCATTTTCTGACTGTCCCTGCTCTTTTCCTGTGGCACGTCATCCCTGTCAGCCATACCCTGGCATCTATCCAACCAATGTGGCCATTGCTTGTTAGCAGCCTCGCTCCTCTGAGATTGTTGCTATTGTCATGATATTCCACTCAGATCAAAGGTCCCAACCAAGACGGAGGCTCAGTTGGTTTAAGCATCACCTAAATTTACATTTCTATAAAGCAAGCCTTCCTATAAAGGAACGGAGCTGATGCGTAAGTCAGCTTTTTAGGTACAGCACGTCCTTGGCTGTGGAGAAGCAACTGCTGCTCACACAAGCCATCATTTCTGGCAACTGGCAGACAATTTCCCATGACACCAAACTGCAGTTCTTGGAAAAAAGGTTTGATTTGTGATTGGGACAGACAGGTTCCCTTTGGCAGGATGGAGGCAATACTGGTACAGGCACACCCAGCTTGTTCAAAGCTCTGCAAATAGTAGCAGTACTGGTCTTTAGTGGAGACCAGCTTTGGCAGAGCCAGAGATAAAGCTGTTGTCTCCCAAACCTGTATTAAATAAAGACGTGAGTGATGGAGTGCTTGCCTAGACTCCATGCTGATTATAAAGTGATTTTTATCACAGGAGAGGCTGCTAATTTATAACTTCATTCATATTAATGAAGAACAGTCTTTTTTTTTCTTTTTTTTTTTTTCAGATTCTGCTGCAGTCTAAATAGGAAAGTTTATATTTATTTTCAGGAGATTAAAGAAGGGGATGTCCAAATTAAGTGACTGTTTAGGAACTTCTATATTCGCGTGTCTTGTCATGGTTGGTCTTGAACTTGTCCTTCACAATAGCCACGCTGACACTAATGGAATAGGCACTGGTTTGGGCCCCGCCGCAGGGGCCATGCTGTGATTATATCAGTAAACAAGCCCATCTTTTGTGAGTTTTTTGGAATTTGTTTTTGTTCTACAGCCGAATGAAAACCAAACTTTCCAAATTTATTTCACACACAGGAAGAAAAAGATATGACAGGCCATCCTGGACCACAGAAACCTTCCTAATAAGAAACATAGCTTCAACACAACAGCTTTTACTGACCTAAGGAAAAGAAAGACATAAACAAGCACAGTGAAAGAAGAGCTCGTTGGAAGATCGCAGAGCAGCTGCAGCAGGGAGTCCCTTCACGAAGAGCGCAGTGGGAGAACAGATCTGTCACTGAATTGTTGCTCTGCTCATCATCGTGACCTTCAGGATGGTGTGCAGGGGTTTGGAGGAAAGCCCACCTCCGTGAGCAGGGGTACAATGCGCGGAGAGGACAATTTCCCCTTGTGCCACTTAGCCACAGGCATGGTCTGCTTGAGGGGAAATAGTTGTGCACGCAGCATCCGTGGCAGGGACAGCATCTTGCTCCACATGCAAAGGACAAAGCATTTCCAGCAGACCTTTTTGCCGACATTCAGACTGACTTTGAAGTGTCTTGTTCCTAGGGCTTTTCTTTTTTATATATAATTATTTTTTGTTTGTTTGTGTGGTTCTGCACTTCCAAAGGGTTGGGCCAGAAGTGGGAGCAAAGAAAGATCATAAACAATGCCGGCCCCACAGTGTTTCCAACCGCCAGCACAAGGGAGGGCAGGAAAACTCACAAGAAGTCTCTCCTTCCAGCGGATTCCTGCCTGTTTTCCAGACTAAAAGGGTTTAGATAAACACCGACCGCTTTGAGGCTTAATCACTGTGGTGCAAAACAGGGACAACAGGAATGGAAAATGCCTCCAAGATCATCCAGGCTTATTGCCTGCTGGGGCAGGATTGTGCCTCTGCTCTTTTTCATCCAATCGTTGTATAAAATTCTTTACTGAGGAACTTTCACGCTCATTTTGGTGTGGCACCAGAAGTTCCCATCATGTTGAGCAGGGCAGCTGCTCAAAGTGGGGGGTTTTATGCCTCTGGGACAGCAATCAGCACTGGCAGTCCAGCCCCTGAGTCCCCTCACAGTGTTATTTTATTCTGGAAGGGGACTGGTGTTTTATTTCTGTTTTCTTCTTCATTTGAAACCCAA